CCTGCCTAGAAGCCCTGATTAGTCGGTCTGGAACCAGTCAAATGATTACTTCTTCTTTTTTAAACAAACAGACAAAAGCAGCAAATCCTCACATTTGAGAAGATGGAACCTGTAAATGTTTAGCAGCTTTGCCTCATAAATGAATTAAAAGATAAATCACTTCTTATAATTGTGTCAAATAGTTTTATGTGAATCTATTAATCAATTAATAGACCAGTTGTTTTATCACTCCTCCTCATCCCACCCCCAACCTCTCAGATATGAGACCCTATAAGAACTAGTAAAGTGGAGGGGTCAGTGAAGTCATCCAGAAATAGATAAGGAGGCTCATAATTAGTTAGTAATGGCAGGTTAGACACCTCAGCAGAAGAATCTTGCTGCTCCTCCGAGCCCACGACAGAAGGACCCTGCCAATAAGGGCCTGGAGTTAATTAAAAGACCCGGTCGTGCTCTGAGGTCTTAAGTGTTCTTATTCTGATAGAATGTTAAAACCCTCCTCTACATAACCGCTCGACAGGCTCCAATGGCTGGTGCACCTCTCAATAAAATTACAGCTGACTCTTTCCTTCCTCTCTTCTCTCCTCCTCTGAAGTAGGTCTGGAATGATTCAATCTATTATGGATTAATCTGTTATATGTTATTTTTTTTGAGTGACTGATTCAAAGGGACACTCCACCAATTTTACTAATCCAAATCAGTTTCCCATTAATAAGAAGTACTGCTCAGCTAGTGAAAACAGTTGTGTACTATCTTCTGTGGCTTTGGATGAGCGCTTCAAAGTCAGAAAAATAACCAACCCTGATGATGTTTGTATTTTTTAACAAAAAGCCTGTGTTACAAACTGAGGCCATAGGATGTGAACACATGGTTTTTTTATGAGGCAGAAGGGGTCTAACTTAGAGATGCTATTGATTTGCATTATGGAAAATGTAAAACTAGGATCCAGTGTTTTTAACCAATCTTTTGGAAGTGCGATACTAAATTGTTAAAGTAGAATCTCTAATTGTTTGGTATCATCTTCAAAATGCTTTTGTGTTGGGTTTTGTCCAACTAAAACTCAAAGATCGTTAATTTACAATGAACTAAAACACAGCAAACCAGAAAATCCTCACATTTGGCAACCTGGAACTTTCCACATTTTTCTTGAACGACTTAAAACAATTAAAGGACCAGTGTGTAGGATTTAGTGGCATCTAGCAAAGTTGGAGATTGCACACACTGGCCACAAAACCTTAAAAAGACCCTACCTAGAGCCAGTGTTTGGTTTGTCCGTTCTAGGCTACAGTAGAAACAAAGCGGTTCAACGTGGTGGCCTCTGTAGATAACAACAGCCCATCTTAAGATAACAAAAACTCAACAATTCTTATGTTTCGCAGATTATACACTAATGAAAACATACCTGTGAATATTATATTCCATTTCTGCCAATAGATCCTCCTAAATGTTACACACTGGACCTTTAATAAATAATCAAAATTTGTGTTTCCCCTGTTGATTAACTGTCAGATTGCTTCATCAATAATCAGAAGACAATGGATGAATAATACATAGGACGCCATCCTAGTCATTTATAGAACATCATAGGATCATAGGATATATGAAAAGGATAACAGAGAGAGAGGAGGTCACTCTGCAGTATTGAGACCTGGCCCAGATCGTGAGCAGACAGAGAGGATAAGTACTCTGTTCCAACTCTTCCTGCTCTGTTTTACAGCCCCAAACTCCTGGGAGCAGCTGTGAGCCTGTTCAATTTAGGCCAGACAGATGGAGACAGTGTTTGCGGTGATTGCATTAACATAACCAACCCCGATGAGGGAGGCGGTTTTGGAGGGAGGGCCGACGAGTTGCTTCAGAAAGGAAGGGCAAGGAAGGAGGAGACAAAGGACGACGGACAAAAGCTTGGAGCTCGCTGATTTTTCTCATTACCTCTTCTCATTTCCTTCCCCTTTTCTCTCTTTCTTTATCCCCCTGGCTTTTCTTTTGTTTTCTCTCTTTACCACCCCTCACTCTCTCTTTCTCTCTTGTTAAAGATGGCTGCAGGCTGATGAAAAGCAGCCATGTGGTGGCGAATACCAGCAGCTTAACAGGTGAGAGAGCAGAAGGTGAGAGGCAGGATTCAACTTCTCCCCTGACAGAACACAGAACACATCGGAATACCAACCACCATGCCTGCTCAGACACACACGCGCAATCGTAGACCCATGCCTACACAAACCTCCACACACCAAACATGCGCTCACACAGTGTTAGACAACACTTTGCCACACAAGCAGTGCTCACCACCAACTCTTAATAGTTTCACATGACTTGGACTAAAGTCTCGAGTCGCAGATGTGATGACTTCAGATTTGACTTGCCAAACATAAAAGCATGTGCATTAAATCTGCTGTTTATATCTGTATATTATTTTATTTAGTACGTAACCACAATGAAATACAGACCGAGTAAAGTCATTTCTGTTTCCATTTAGATTTGCTTTATGCTTGCCCTTTATTTCTCACCTTCCCGTTTTCCTTTCTGTTGCTTATCATAGTGAGGCTGTTATTTCTGTTTGTGGGGATATATGGATAGGGAGAGATAGTGCCTGAACAAAATCATGCATCATTTGCGAACAGCCATGTGACTAAACGAACAGACTGCATCTTTTAATGTGCAACCCCATATCTTAACTGCCTTTTTTTAGAATGCTGATAAGGTGTGGAAAGCTCAGTTTCATATGTCAGGTGTTCCATCAATTCAGTCACAGCCACGTGTAATGTGTGTTGGCCATAACTCCCCTGTTACTGTTCTTCTCCTCTAAATCTTAAAAAGAAAGCATATAAGAATATTTCCTAAAATGTTGAACTTTGACTTACTGTCTACTGTGTACTTACTGTCTTCTTACTTTACTCCAGTGCCCTGCTAATGGAGCCTAGAGGCTGCAATGTTCATTGCACTGCACAATACAAAAGTGTTGGGAGCAATTCTGAATACACAACATACTGTATTTACTTTGCTGTTTGTCTCAGGCCAAAGATTTACTCAAGGGGAAACTTTAACCTGATGATGCATCTAGATAAAAAATCACAAGGTCACCAAAATAATTACAGATATTCCTTTGCGGACCACAAATATTTATACATAGTTGCATGTCAATCTGCAGAGTAATTATTAATAACAACATCTTTGGGGATATCTTGCTCAATCTTGCTTTTGGACAGACAACTGACAGAAGGCGACGTTCTCTGCTCAGGCAAAATGTGATGCAATTACACTTTTACTAAACATAAAAAGCATAACAAGAGCTCTAATCTGCACACTCTGGCTCTGAGTGTTTCCTCACTGTAATGAAGTGTGTGACAACCCCACCTGGAGCAATCAAACACCAGAGGGAGTGTGAGTCAGTCTGCATATCCAGCCCGACTGAGAGCTGCATGCATCCACACTGATCATTAGCAGCAGCAGGGAGGCTATAAACTCTGGAAATTTTCTGTCTCCGTATAGGTGGGAAAATGTCTGAGTACCAAGCCTTATGAAGTGCTGAAGTCTGAGGGCTAAATGATAAGAAGTTGGAGCTGAAGTGTTTTGGTGTGTGTGTCACTGTTCCCCCATTAATATTCTTGTTGGTGCTGAAAGGGCTCTTCAGCACAGCTGCAGCTTGTTTTGGTGGGTTGTTCAGCTTTTTGTATTCAACAGTGAGGGCAAAGTGGAGGAGTAATGCATGGATAAGGATTATATTACAATCATTTTACTTTCTACAGTGTCTATACAGATGAACGGATCTAAAAATATCCCCACCTTCATTCCCCAATTTGTTTTCATGATCTGCACACCCTGAGCTAAAGTAGATGATAAATGTCATTTTTCTGTATGAATTCCCTCAGTTATATTCTATTGAATTTAAATTATAGCATAAATGCTGTATCAGTTTACCACTGTTATTCATGCTTATTAAGATTAATTATCTGAAATAAGCCCTTTAGGAAGTATACGACTGCCAATTTGATGACTGTAAAGTGTGTAATAGATGCTCCCAGAAGAGTAATCATAAAAGTAACTGAACTTTTTAAATAAGTATCAAGAGGAGATAACATGGTTCCTTTGCTGACATTGAAGTACTATCCAAAGAGTCAGCACTATAAAGATGGTCATGTATGCTTCCTTACAGGTGTACTCATTTGGATTTGGATACATTTTTACCACATGATCTATGGAACTGATTATATATAATGTATATAATATAGAATTAAACATCAGAAGGAAACATTCAACCCTGCTCTGGACAAGTAGATGTTCAAACTTTGAAATGTCTGAATCCTGTGCTCTGATTCGACGCCAGTTCAAATAAAGTATCTTGACACTAGAGCTGTAAAAATGCACCTGTTAATTTTAGCGATTGATTCGAAATATTTAAAGCGGTTTAAAAAATGAACGCAGCTGTGTTTTGCTTACTTCCTGTGGATGCTGACCTATGACCTGTGACAACGTATGTACCCAAACCGAACCATCCTGGCTAAAGATGAATAAGGACAAGGATGGCGTTTTAGTCGGAAAGTTTCACTTCAGAAAGTTCCCCGATGGATCTCTGGAGAAAACAAAAATAATCTGCACAGTTTACTAAGCCTAATTTAATTACCACAGAAGTAATTTGTCTCTTACATATCACTTCAAAGCAAACATCCCACTGAAACCATCTCTATGCGGCCTCCCCAATCTTCACTGTGGTACTTGGGGGGCGAATAATGAAGACTGTAAGTGAGAAGGTAACTAATGGTTAACTAACTGCAATTAACAAGTAGAAGATGATGGACTGAGACAAATCATTCAAATTGCATTATTGTTAAGAGGCACTATTGTGTCAAGAATACATACTTAGTATAACAGCAAGAGGGCACTAAGGTAGAACCGCATCATTTATGTTTAAAAGATATCAAATAATAAACCATAATTGGTTTCCTTCAATCAAAAACCTCATGGTGTGCATGTGTAGATGGGTGCAGTGCTCTAATATGTTCACTCACACATTGGTCGTGAAGATGCCATAGATGAGGTCTTGCTCGGGCAAGTAGAAGGTGCTCTGCAGCTCGTTGTAGTAGAATGGGATCTCCCCGGAGCGGGAGCAGTTGAGCCTCGCCTTCATGAAAGTGGTCCAGGTGTCCTCCAGGAGGAATCGCCCGCCGATGTCGTTCTTGCAGACTCGCGCCACTCGGGAGTAGACCGTCTTGCCGCAGTCATGCTCCACTGCGTTCTCCCTCAGGAAGAAGAAGGTGAAGAGGCCAATGTCGTAGGCTGAGATGAAGTGGGGCTCTGCCGGGAGGAAGGAGAAGGGACAAGGCAGGGATGGGAGAGGATCATTACACAGTGACTCCAGGGAAATAGAAATATTTGCAACATTTATCTTCTAGATGTTGCTGCTTTGACCCCTGTACTCCTTATTATTGATTGCAATAAAAACTTGGAAATTCTACTGTGGCACTCCTGTTCAAGATGTTCTAGAAGAGAGCCTCAAAGTCAAATGTGTAAATAAGAGGAGAAGGTGCAGAGGGAAGGAGGGAAGAGAGAAAAAATGGTTACTAATAAATCCGTCTGATGTTTTGATGGTAAATCCATGGAGCTATGTCTGTTTAACTGGATGCCCGTGCTGCTTTTATTGCCCTGGGTGACACAGCCAATGATTGATGACCCTCCCTGCTGGGTGGGTTATCACGTAAAGCAGACTGAATAACAGTTTAAGAGGGACGTTACTGTCATCCTTTGTAAACACATGACTCATCACAGAATACTAATTCATTCACTGTGAGTGTGCAGGGAGCTTAACCATGCAGTGTTGCATCCAACACATCGGGGCTGATTTAACGTCTAGATTTTTGGAGGTTTCACATAAAAGTCTTGAAAGTTGTAATGTCTTAAAGGATCAGTTCACCCCAATACCTTAAATCACGTATTCATGCTTACCTTTTTTAGTATCTAATTAAGCAAGATGTTTGTAGACTGACATTTCTGCAGACACCTCATGGTCAAGGTCAGTAATTGAATAATTGTCACTGGATAAAGCTATAATTTTATGAACAGAATGACTACCTTGTTGTCATATTTCTGATTTGTTTTGTAGTTTTAAGGTGAACAATCTAAAAAAAGAAACACGGTGCTGTTTTGACACTGCGCTCACTGTGACTTCACCACACTCAAGTTTTGTTTTCTACTGTTTTCTACTACTGTGTTTTCTTCTTTTAGGCAAGTACTACTTGTGTACAGAAACAATGAAACACGACCTACTCCTCTGCTGCTGTCGCTTCAGTTTCCCACTGGGACCATTTATCGCAAGTGGTATCATACACTCTTTCACACGAGCACAAACACAAGTGGAGGAATAAACCTTGATTTGCACTGATGCATGCACTCCCATAAACAAAGTAGACATGACCTGTTAACAGCTATGATGGAAGGGGGCTAGCAAGCTTTTTATAAGAGATTAAGATTTTAAAATGGAGCTGGAAGGGACAAAACATCTATGATAAAAAAACAACAACCTGTGGTTTTGATCGACCGCATGTGAAGGCACTTGTGGCTTAGAAAGACAACTTTTAACAAAGAGACTAATCAGCTCAGCTGAGGGAGTGTTTTTGAGACTTAAGTTATATAGTCATATATTTAAAGTTATATATTAAATTTGCTGTCAGTGCAGAAGTTCTCACAGTCTGATATTTATAGTGCAAGAATGTGGATGTTGGATGTGGCAGTGGTGGCTAATTTATCACATGATCTAATCAACCTTTACCTTTAATGAAGTGGAGTCCCCCATTAGTGCATCCTTGATCCAGATTTATAATCAAAGGCTTAACGAGCAATGTCATTACAGAAAGAAACAAACCCAGCAGATTCATTATCATTGTTATTAATATTATGCATGACATCCAAAGGTATCATTGATCGTGTATATCTGTGACAAAAAACAACTTCTCAAGCTATTCACTGTAATGTACATCCCCATTCAGAAATAGAATTTGTGCTAACAAGCCTGCAGATGAACAAGTGAGGTGGTGTCACGCCTGTTGGGTCACTGTCATCTACTGCAACAGCGGCTAAAGAGACAACCATCATAATGTGTTGGTACCTGCTACTTTCCCTACAGCTTATGGCCACATGAAAGAGCTAATTGTTGTTTATGCGTGTGTCAGCTACGTAGCTAGGGATAATGTGTATATACAGCATGCCTGAGCCGCTATGTGGATGTACACCAGAGTCTTTCTGTGTTTGCATACCTGTGTTTATGCATACTGTACGTGTGTCAGGCAAAGGGCAGGTGGAGCTGACAGATTCTGCATAATATTACTGAAGCTGCGTGGGTGCAAATGTGACGGATAGAGTTTTTCCAGCATCCTGCTGAGTGGTAAACAGATTGTTCAATCTGGCAAGCGGGTTGGGTGCTGGAGGAGTGAAGCTGCCATCGCTAACATCACATGACACTGTAGATCAAACACAGTTACAGTATAAAGAGCAAGGCTATTTAATATTCATATAAACACTTCCTGCAGGAATGCAAAATGATCTGTTAATAATAGGAGGATTGTTAATGCCTTATAGCTTGATTATGTCCAAACAGGACTATTTGTATTTAGTCTTTATTAATTTTGTGTTTTCCGCTCACTATACTTGTTGCATTTTGTTTTTTGTTTTTTTGTATTTAGTTAGGTTTGGAGCCTTGAATATTTTAAAAAAAGAATGCACGAATAAGCAAGTAAAAAAGTCCAACTCTATCTCTAACAAAACATGCTTCTGTACTACTAATTGGTTTTGCCAAATAGGTTTTGGGGAAAATGTACTTTCTGCCTGGATTATGTTTACTGTCAACTCTTTTTCCTTGCACTGCACAGAAGTCTCATGCATACAAAGCACACTGGAGACTGAGGTTCTGTGTCCCATGTGTTGCTGGATTTAAGTGACTACAGCATTTGGTTAACATTAGGAAAATGATCATGGTTATGGTTATTGAAATAGTCAACTCATCCAACTTAATTTTTCAAATCTTCCCCTAGCCTTAACCAAGTACTTTGAGTTGGCAGAACATAACCATAAAAACATGAATCATTCTTCATTCTAGTGAGATACACTTCTATTTATATACATTTATAACTAATGATTATACAGTTAAATCTGGTTCGAGTCCGGGATTCTGCTGGAGAACTAATCCACACTAATAAACATATTAAATCTCAATAAAGTCAAAACGGAGGGCTTCGCATATAAGGAAGATATCAGCAGATTAAAAGTGTCATGTTATAATGGCCACTGTAAACACCTGTATGAATATGATAGGATGTTACTAGTCAGCTAGTAGCAAAGCAGCTCATGATTTTGCAGCATGAGTGAAATAGCGGTTACCAGCAACCTAAACTGAAGCTATGTTCTATTTGCCAGGAGTAGGGAAAACAAATGAAACGTGAAACATTTTGCAGATACATTCAGTATGAAGAGTTTGTGTTGGCAGTGAACAGTTCGATATGAACGTTTACTTGTTATACAAATAAAACAACCTGGGCACCCAAAAGTATTTGGCTAATGCAAATTAGATGTATAAAAATTGTGTTTGTATGTATTTATTTTGGACTACAGTATATACACACACACTATAACGCACACTTTTTATTGAGAGGAGAGTGAGAGGGAATAAATATGTTGTTACATACGAAGTCTTTGGGGGATTGAGAGAAGTACAGAGAAATTGTTTAGATTATTTCACAGGAAACTTTATAGCTCCCCGTGTCATTCAGATGCATGATGGGACACTGTTGGTCGGTGCCTGGCAGGCTACCAATCCAATAAGGGAACAGATTGATTAGATCCAGGACCCCCTCCCTGCCTTCGGTTCCCCTGAACTGGAGAGGCTTAGAGCTGGAAATGAGATTTTCATTCACACCCCAAATCCACCGGGAACGCAACTCCATAACCCTCACAGAAGCCATGAAGCAAAGCAGGCTTTGTCTGTAATGGCATGGCTGTGTGTGTGTGTCTTGCTAAAGTGGAGCGCAACATGTGTGTCTGACTTGTGTGTGCAGCCAGCTGTGATTATGCTGATGAGGACACTATCTACTTTGCTACAAATCTTTTTCCCTCCCACATACTCTCTTTGTGTGTTGTTCTCAAACACACACACACACAAACACATATAACTTGGACACACAAAAAAGCAGATGCAGCTTGTATACAGCCTAAATACATACATACATACATATATATATATATATATATATATACACTAAAGCACACACTCACATGCACACAGGCAGAGTCCCTTCGTGGTGTGAAGCCCGCTGTGTGTTGTAATTTCACCCTCTCCCTGCCGTGAGGAATAATTACATCGCTCACTGACTCCTCAGTCTATCTTCTCTGCTTCCCTCTCATCCTCATCTTCTTCCCTGGCCTGCAACTCTCTCATCCCTTCTCTCTCACCACCACCATCACACACACACCTTCCCACTCTCCCACCTACCATCTTTGCTTGCATTCAATTCTCCTTTATTCTGGCCAACTTTATACAGTCTGAATCTTTCACAACCTCATTCTCATCATAACACAACTGGCCTGACATATGTAAATATTTGTTTGTTACATTAAGTGCTGCGGATTGGTTGATTAATGACACAAAATTAATCGATTACGTTTTAATCAAGCATAAAACGTGAAGCATTTGGTGAGGCTTTGCTGCTTTTCTCAGTTTTATTTCATTGTAAAGTGAATATTTGGGGGTTTTCAACTGCTGGTCAGAGATCCCCTTGGACTCTGGGATTGTGAAGGGCATTTTATTACAATTTATAGTAATAATGGATTAGTTGAGAATAACTGAAAATAATAATTTAATTTAAAAACAGACATGTGAATTTAAATCAATCGAATGCATTTTCACTTTTTCAAACTTTTTTGTTCTTGTCTCATCTCCTCTCACACACAAGCACCACTTTGGCTGCAGCAGACTTCTGCTCTTATTTAATTTTGTCGGGTGATGCTTCAGGCTCGCGAGGGGTTTTATTATTTTCAAATGTTGTTTATTAAGAAATTTCTCTCTCTCTTTCTCTGACTGTGTGTCATGTGTTGGACGTAGATTCTCAATGTCCAATGAGAAGAGGGAAGCAAAAATATAGCATTGGGTCAGGTTCAAGTCAAAATGTTGGATGTTATTCATCAAAAAATGTGGGAAAAAAGTCTTAAAGTGCTTCAACTGTCAGTCAACTAACATTGTCTAAAAAATTAATTTAATATTTACTTCAAGAACAATGGATGCCTAACATAACTCCTCACACTTTGCTTTTCTCTATATTTCCATCAATCCAGTAATCTAATTGTTTCTGCATATCAAAGGCGGTGCATGACAGCCTCTTCCAGTGGACGGCCCATCTACATTTCTGCTGGAGTCAGGATGTGTGTGAATGGATTTCTGCAGCAGCGGGTTCAGAAGGAAAGGCACAGTGTCAGCAGCAGGGAGATTATTGACACCGACACCAGCAGGATTGACAGCGTTTCATGTTCTCCGCCATTCCATAAATCCTACCAATTCCTATGCCTAACCTGTACTGTGTGTTCCACACACAACTTCAAATCCAAACAGTCTTTGTAATCCTTTGAAAACACCCCAGTCGGATTGATGTATCTTGGCTGTAACAAAAGAGCCGATTGTGTTGGAAGCAAAAGTGCACACTTGGCCCATCTGCCGCTCCAGGCAAGCCTAAGAAAATGTTTAAAGTAACAGAAGGAATTTTCAGAGATTGTTTGATACAAGTCTTTACCCTACAATTTAACCTTGAGTGGATTATTTGGAAATCAGACTTGAGTTTAGACCCGATCAGATTACTTATACTATTCGATTAGATTTCTCACGCCTGAGACAAAACACTTTCCTGATATCCGACAGAATTGTCCACTTGCTACTTTCCATTTCCATCTTCAGCCTGGCAATTCCTCCACTCATTCAACTATCCCTAACCAATCGCTAGAGACCAACGTATCGACCTGAATGAGGCATTTTAAGTCCATACTGAAGCCATGCCAAGTTTACTTACTAGTTTATCCAGGGTTTTGAAAGTGGAGAACAGTAAACAGTGCTGTTTAGATTTTAAAGTATTTGCTACTTTTAATAGAACAGCCTCAATAACAGCGTCTATCCTGTCTGTAACAGTTGCCATCGTTGTTATTACTCCTCCTCGGTTCTAGCAAACAGCTTGACAACAGTGTATAAGTCCCGATGATTACTCTTTCAACCGAGAAACTGCTGTTTCATGCCATGATGCCAGACCAGGATAAGACAAACTGGAGGGCAGATTCAGAGGTCTGGACCCATGGAAAAAAACGCTACAAAGCAAAACAACAAAGCTGTAACACAAACCAGTGAACTTTGAAATTTCTTGAGCATTTTCGCCTTATTATCCAGCAATAATGCCAAGCATCTGCCGGTCCTGTAAATTGAATATCTTCGAGTTTTGAACTGTTGGTCCGACAAAGTAGGCTGACAGCATCACCTTGAAACTTGTTATGGCTGTTTTACTAGATATAGATCAAACCATTAAACAATTAATTGAAAAAAGAATCATTATCATTAATTGGTAATGGCAATAATAATTAGCTGTTGCTGTGGTCGTTCTCGCTGTGCTACTGTACCATTAAGCCATTTCGAGTTGTACTGTGCAGTCCGTAGAGGTGGCATGCCGCCGAGGCTGCGGTATATGACTGGGTCACGGCCGGAGAAGTCGATGACGGTGGCGGCATACAGCTCTCCGCTCTCCGTCACCACCGCTGTAGAGTTGTGACGAGGGTCGTATGGGCAGCGTGCCACACCGTTCACCCGCTCCAACACGCTGCTCATGTTGCCCACCTGCGATGGATGAAAGAGAACTAGTGAGACGAAGAGAAGCGAAGAATTACAGGTTAAGTCTATACTGAATTTTTATAAAATGACACAAACACACACTTATCCGTACCTCTCTCGTAATACATAGTGGCTGGAAAGCATTGGTTCCACAGGTCATGACCTCGGTCTTGTTCACCAGCAGGACTCTGATGTAGTTCTGACATTCAATCTGTAGAAAAGCGGGTGAAGAAGAAAGCTTTCAAAAAGTTACAGTAGAGCAGGGAGCAGCTGAGGTGGCAGGCTAAATATTCTTTGACGTGTTGCGGAGAAGAACAATGGAGCAAGTCCTCTGGTATCATACTGGCAAGCAACCAAAAGCAAAGCAATTCAGTGTCTGCATGCTTTCGCTCTGTAAGTCCATTGTTCAAAAACAAGAATACTCGTTTGCAACTGAATGGAAGCCTATTCGTGACATCGACAGAGGCGCCACAATAAGTCAAGCATGTGTTTCAGCAAAAAGAGTCAAATCTGTTTTAACAAAGGCATGAAATGGATTTATTGGTAATGAAACGTTTTATGTAAGTATCATTTATTTTAAATGGTGGTGCTTTGTGTTGTGGCAAAGGACTGAGGTAATTGCAGTGACGCAGGTTTTACAGAGAATTGATTGTCTGTTTTGTGTATTAGGTATCGCTCTTCACTCTGTAGCCACTGTGGGAGATAAAAATGACGCTGCAATCAGTTCTCACAAAATAATCGAAATAAGACAGCTGATCGCAGTGTTGGTTATCGGACATATTTGAAAGGAAGTTCTTTTGTGTCTCACTATCTTGCCCAAGGCTGTCTTGTGTGCATTTTTCCTCTCTTCCCTTTTGCCCCTCTTTCCTCACTGCAAGAAAAACAACTCCTGATTGAAGGGTCTGAAATAGCTGTTCTGTACAGAGCCCTCCCATGAGACCCATAAGGACTTTGCCACAACAGCCAGAAGATATCAAGATGGCCTCTCTGTAAGCCAGCCAGCACTGACATGAAGTGTTGTAATTGGGGGCGGGATCGAGGTTACCTCTGTTTTGCCTTTGCTCTGACAGGACCTCCTGGTATCCTCGTCGGGTGCCCATTCTGTCGCCTAGGAGACAAAAACAAGAAAAAGCGCAAGGATGACAAAGAGGCCGAAAAGCAGTCAGCTGAGTCCTTTAGACACTACAAAAGTTATGCAACATCTGACTGTTGCTAATACTGTAGGCACGCACAAAAAGATGCATGAAAAGACTTTAACCTCATTGCTGTTTGTTTATTGTGTAAACATGGCGACCGGCTTGCCAGCCAAGAGCTTATTCGAGGGTAGCGGGCAAGGTACCCAACGAAGCAGTTGAAGGGCTGAGGACGGCATTAGCATGTAAATGGATTTCTCTCCATCTTCTTCTTCTTTCTTCCCCTCTCTATCTCTCGCTCGGGAAGTTTGCAGCACTCGCCTCCACTCTGCCACCCCCCAAACCCCCCCACCCCTTTCACATCTACCAGCCAATTATATTCCTGTTGATGGTTGTGTCTTGGGCTTAATTATGGATGCAGGCAGCAGCCCTGCACGACTGCACTGCAAACACACTAATGCATGTACATACACACATGCTGCTTGGCCACCAGAGCCGCACTGGCTCTTCTAAAGAGGGTTGAGAGATGTCCCTCTTTTGGCATGAAGTGCATATGTACAAGGTGCCAGAAAAGCCCCTGCTGTGTGTCACTGGCCTCATTTTACTCATCCACCCCCATCTCCTCCTCTTCTCTGATCTCACTGCCCAAGTAGGAATGTTGCCTAAATGTCTAAAAGTAAAAAAGTCTGCCATTATATAACATCAATCTATCTCATTCTTCATCTTTCTGTCTGTTCTCTCTTTATTTTTTTTCTCCCCTCTCCCAGAAGGATTATTATGGTACAAAAGAGGACCCATGGCAGATCATTATCTAGTTCTTATGAATCGCCTTTCCTGGACAATTGGCTAGTGGGACAAAGTTTTGACCCAACATTCAGTGGAGCCCGCGACTGAGGCCAACCAAGAGTCAGTACTAAACTGGGTCAGTATTCCAAAACCAAATGGAGGACTCAAACAAACAGTACACGCCAGGGGAAACAACTAAGGCTGATTCACTACGCAGCTCATCTTAAACACCTACATGCAGTCTTGGACATTTTCATTTTTAGGTGTGAATTTGTCCTGCAGTGATATCACTCGAGCTTTTTTGGATCCTCATTTTGCTTTAATTAAAGCTCAGCAGAAAAAACTAAACACTGTATAGCCCCAAGACTCAGGGATGAATTCTGCGGGGAAAATATAGTTTTGAGTGAATCACATTTTTTTTCCAGACCTCAGAGAAGAGAATATAGCTCTTCAGGAATTTAAATGGAAATAAAACAGTATAAGCACACTTAATGAGAATTTAGGAGAACTGCCAAAATCTTTCTGGGGACAAAATGCGGAGCTAAAATTCGCTGAGTGCTCCTTTCTGTTTAAAGTATATAAATAGATCTCTTATTTCACAGATCATGGAGTATATCGACTATGCTTGAATGAGTGGAAGTTCATGATTTTGGATGATTAGCATAAATTCTTGCTAATGAGCGAAAACACCAGACTGAACAAAACTATTCACTGCCTAATGAGCTAGTCAAACATCTGCATATTGTCCTGGGATTTCTTTTATTGTTTGCTATAAACTTATATTCATAGACGTTCATTGGTATGTGATTGTTTTTTGATTGTTCACACTGCCAGAACTACTTGTGCAGCCAAAACAAAGCAGAAGAAATACAAATTTTTGATGCCATGTTTGATTGTCTGGGACAACAGCTCCAAAAAAAAAAATCAACAAACCCACCCACTGTGCACTGTCTCCAAAGCCACCCCACTCCAAAAAAACATTCATTTTACCTTGCAGTACAGAGGAGTTGCTGGTCTACCACTGCTTCGACTGGCACCAACGAATGTTAGTTACAATGTGTTAAAGAACCAAATTCACATAATAATACAAACAAACTAACTGATGGAGGCAAAATTACTGTTTTTGTCAGTCACAACCCCTCTTCAATAAATCCTAACTAACCCTTTAAGCTGCTAGACTATGTTCACTATGGCCGCTTACTTTGTGGCTGCAGCTGGAGACCAGGTTGGTGAGAGCATTGATAGTGAACCAAAACGGTAAGCTGCAGTCCATGAAACCAAGTGCTGAAATTACACTAAAATGCTCCACAGAGCTGAGGGGAACTGCAGAGTCCAGTGATACATTTGCAGCTTCACCCAAGTTAAACTAAGAATAAAAGCCAGAAAGAAACTCTGTAGAATTATATGTAAGGGTAGGTTAGTCAGAGATTGAGACAAATTCATTAGTGTTTTAAAGCTATGTTTAGCTCCTGCAGCACTGGTAAGTGGGCTCTGGTCCATATTGATAGTTACAGCTCATCTCCCTGTCTCCCATAGCAGCTCCTTTCAATTAACCTGCTGCAGACTGCACCAGGGAGAGAGACAGCAGCGGGGGACAGCTATATAAAGTAAACTGTGATTAAAATGAAACTTGAGAGCTCCAGACACTGAACATGAATAGACGGAGAAATAAAAATACCAAAAGTAGCTAATGTGCTCTGCAGGAGCTCCACTGTCTAGTCATGCAAGCAGTCAGCTGCCGCCAAACAGTACACACACAGCCAACAACAACCTCAAATCCTCTTCCCATGAGCACGGCGAACAGCGTGGCACCTGCCATTCAGAGAGAAGACCCGCCCCCTCCGGCGCAGTCCATCACTCTGCCTGTTGAAATGAAAACACTGCCCCTGCCTGTCAGCCCCTGACAGCCTGGGGACTGATGGGATGACGTCATTTTAAACACACACACACACACACACACAGGGTGATGGATGCCTTTGCAATGAATCATGGCTTGGGGCATTACCATCTTTTCGGCAGGGCCCCGTCTCCAAGGATCCCCATCGGCTTAACCCGCTGACCTTCACCAGAAAGTACCCCCTTCCCCTCCCTCTCCCCTGCCCCTCTCTCTGTCCATCTCCTCTTCTTCATACCACTTTGGAACAAAGCCACACTCACACAGAGCCTGTGAGAATACCAATCCCGCCTCAACATCCTTTCCCTCAAATACCTTCCCTCTGTACCGAACCCTGAAAGGCCTGGCTGCCATCAACAGGATAAATTAAAGCTGTATAATGTGTGGGCAGGATTTTCACTGAAACATGCTCTTGTTAACAACAATTCAACATAAAAAAAGGTAAGAGATGAAGAGGGAAAATAATATTTTCACACATTCCCCATTGATATTAAGGTTCTCATTTGCTATATAATTATTCATTTGTAATTCAGAAGAACAGCTCAGTGTGCAGGTTCACTCTGTTACAGTTTAATCTCTGTTGATGAAGGGTTATTAAACGTATGCAACACCCTTGGACATGAAAAACAGAAATAAAGAAATCAATCAAATATATAGACAATATAAAAAATGCAACAGGTTCTTTTTACTTTTTTATTATCTTCCAAAATTACCAATTTTGTAGTCATCACTACATTAAAGGTTTAATTAGGTCTAGGCACAAGAAATACTAAAAGTGTGTTTAGACTACTGATACTGATCTCACATCTGTACACTAAATATGAAGCTACTACCAGATGCCAGTTAGCTTAGCTTAGCACAAAGATTGGAAACAGTAGGAAACACCAAGCCAGGCTCTGTCCAGAGTTAACTAAATTAAATTCACTAGATAACACTTTATATCTTGTTTAATCCATATAAAAAGTGTAGAAACAAGAAACTGTCTTTATGCTAAGCTAAGTTAGGCAGCTATTAGCTTTATTTCTGCCGTACAGACATTATGGTGGTATCCTCTCATCTGACTCTGAAAGCAAAGAAGCCTATTTTACAAAAAATCTTCAACTATCCGTTTAAGGTCAGGGAAAGACTGTGTTCATGGTTAAAATAAACCAATGTTGACTGTGAGTGGGAAATGGGAACCAAACAATGGTCTCCCATGTCAAAGTGACACACTTTGTCAACCCCAACCTCTTAACCTAGCCACCATGTCCACCAGAACTGGCTATATATCAAATTCCACCTCTGCGGCCCTTTTCTTGCACCATCTTTACAGGTCAGGTGTATTTATTTGGCAAAACAGCTTACATCTGTGAAGAGTGACACATTTAGTGATTTTGGAATTGCCTTTTTCTTGTCTGTTTAAGCCACTTCTCTAAAGTACATGAAGGGATGTTATAGTTTTCCTTTTATAATATGTAATATTCAGGAAATACAAGATAAATGAAAGACACTATTCTGCTAAGTACAACCATTACATGAATAAAAAATGAGGTGCAGAAGTGTATTAAAAAACTTTTAACATTGGAAATGTGTCTGCTTCTCAAACACTTCCAGGATAATTGAACCAGGCAACACATCCAGTTTCCATGAGGAGTCAAACAACATCAATACTTTCAACTTTGCTTCTGAGAGACAGTCATTATTTGCACAGCCTCTAGAGGTCAGGTAAAAACCAACACAGATTGATGTTTTAAGCATTTGAACAAACAACCAGCACTGTTGTTTTCCTAGTGAGGACAGTCCATCTGTTTATAGACATAAACATAAATATGGAAGAAAAAACAAAAAAATGTCCCTGGTGCACGAAATACCAGACAATTAAAGGTTTGTCCGCCTCTGAGACAACAAGTTACAGCCATTTTTCATGCTCAGATAGGCCCACGGCCAGCCTGTTTATTATTTGTGCCTGTAGCCTAAGATGCATGTTAGAGTTCGTTTCCATCTATTAGCGAGGCCAACAGCCATGTGCTCTCCCTGCCATCAATTCCCAATCCAAATCAGAGCCTGACACCCAATTTCTCCCAATTTCACCACTCCTTAGACACAATGAGAATATCTCGCCCCAGGCATCTTTCTTAGGGGGGGGGGGGACATGAATTTTTTATGGGCAAATAAAATGGCAAAAAAATACAATTAGTAGCAGGAAAGAAGATTCATCACTTTTACTGCAGAAAGATGGTGGCTGGGCTCGAAAATGAATTCTATTTTTACCAGAATATATAGCGAGAGAGGGAAAAAAGAGAGACGGAGAGCGGG